GCCGAAAATAGACAGTAACTGAGCAAGGCATTCTTGTTGCGATAATAATTGTCTCTGAAAGTTGTAATAAATTATGTCGCGAAAATGTTCTCGGCCGAGTTCCATTTTTCTAATGACTTGGTGACACTTAAAAATTCACTGTAGTGAGAACACTGCACGTATTGTTGTAAAACTTTGATTTAAGTTTACTAAAGAGTGAGATTAAGATTCAGTACTGACGGTCTGTCCGCGCGGCCTACTATGTTTCTATATGCAAAACTTAAAAGACATCCCTCGTATTCTATCGGCCATGCTCACGCTGGCTTTAAAACAAGCTAAGTTCAAAGTGAAGGTAAGAACTTTAATTTAGACACTTGGTAACCATAAACATCATGATTTTTAACGCAGTTTTCAAGCATTGTAAATCGCATTTTTTTTCAGAATTTTAATCGCTTATAATTCGAAACGGCTAACTTTCAGTTACCTGTTTTGTTCAAAATGAATAGGAAAATGAAAAAAAAATTTCTCCGGAGCAAAAAAAATAATTTTCAGAATCAAAAAATCGTACCGGATTACGCACAGTAAGCTGTTGATTCATGTTACAAGAAACGTGGTTATGAAAGTAAATCGAATAGAATTTCTCTCGCGAATACGAGGTTTCCGTTTAGTCTAAAATGCTTTTAGACAAAATCAAGGTTTGATGTTAAACCGCTGTGAATTAAGTGATGAGACTGGCAACGTAGCATTTCATCTGGCAACACTGGAGGCGACGACTTAGAGGGGAGACAGGGTAACATGTAATCCGCCTTCAATACCAGTTTGAACTCGTTCGAGTCATTTGGTTGCCCGTAGCGATTTTTTTTTGTCAAACAGTTTTTCCTATTTTGTTCTAAAAATGAGTGACATCAATTGCGAGCAACGGTGTGCTATCAGTTTTTTCTTCAGACTTAGAAATATTGTTTTGTCAAGAGCCCAGGTTTTTCGGTGGTTTAAGGCATGTTTAGAAGGGTGGGAGTCAATAGAAGACGAACCACGAAGCGGAAGGCCTTCATCTTCAAGAACCGATGTACTATAAATATCGACAGAACCGGGAATCATCTGTTGATAGTTAGAATGATGAGTTAAATTTCAAGAACTACTGGGTGTTCATGCAAGTTCAAAAACATACTTCATTATTTGAACTCAAAAGCCATACAAATTCAAATTATTTGGCACGTGCGCATACAAGTAAAACATGCGCACAAGAGGAAGACGATTTCGTGAAGTCAATCTCGTAAAGATCGGAAAAGGCAACGGTCGTCTTCAATACCTCGACAAAGAATCCTAGTTAAACCGGGTACAATATATTCGCTAAGGCAAGTGTGATGAACCTAAGAAGAAGCTGTGAAGAGAGAGGAGCTCCTCCAGACCAGGCGACAGGAACACCCAGGTACGTGCCAATCCTACATTGTCTTTGTATGGCTCGGGTGTCGATTACCTTATTACCTTACTTATATCTGAACGTGCATACAGTCCCGCGGCCCTCCACAATTTAGAATCATCTTTACAATAACACTGGGTGTTGCATCACGATAATGCTCCTTGTCCCAAGCAATGTCAATAAACGAGTTTTTGGTCAGAAAAAACATTCTTTTGGCTTCTCAGCCTCCATATTCGCCTGTAACTTTTTTCTCTTCCCGAATTTTAAAAATCCCTTTAAGGGAACTCATCTTGGGACAGTCGAAAACGTACAAGCGGCTGTAACCGACCAGGTGAAGTCTATTCCAGTATCCGAGTTCCAGCACTGCTATGAGGAGTGGAAGAACCGTTTCCAGCGCGGTGTGACTTCAGAAGGAAGTTATTTTGGGGGTGTCAACATACATTTGTAATTTTATTTGAATAAAAAAAATCAGTCTCAGTACTTAATTTACAGACCTCGTACATCTACATCTACATGTCAGATAATTGACACGTGCGTCGTTATACCCTAGATTCCAGAAATTATTGTTTGTGGGAGATGTATTCAAAAATTATCAATTAGTATATATTGTGGATACATAATATGAGTTGCTTCTTCATATAATTTCTCTGTTGCTTAGGAGCCGTTGAGATGGAGTAACGATTGAAGGATAAGATACTAATTTCGAACAAAGAGTGTACGCTTGCACTGTCACATTTTGTACGTACGTACTTCTTGAAATGAGGAGCAGTCGCAAAATAGAAAACCGAATGTTGATGGTAAGCAGAACTCACAAGAACTCTTCTCTTCCAAAAAAAGTTATCGTTAATAACCATACAAGGATAATAACATTCACGTTTACAGTCGCTGGCCAAAAGCTCCTCATCTGTTAGCTCATTCTTTTGCAAAATTTCTCTCTAGTCCACGGGCTTGAAAAAAATGGTTTTTGTAAGGCTATATGGATCAGATAGCCCGTTCATTCAGCTTCAATAAACTATTTCCTTTTGTCATCGACCACTCACTTTTTGACTAGCTTTGAAAAATCAACCGAATTTTTTATTCATTGAGTATCTCAAAAAAACAAAATACTGATCAGCGGTGGATCTAGAAAATATTCATTGTTTCGTCCGACCGTAACGAGTAACTTCAACTAATCAGTCCGGAGAAAAAGAACAATGGACGGTGAACACCTAAATGCATTAGCCTTCTAATTAGCGGTTCCAAAAAAGCGGTCGATTTTCCAAAAATAGGCAAAGAGTACCTGTTTTGACTTTTTTGAAATCAGACAAAAAAAAATCCCCAAAGATTGCAATCAAATCTTATAGAAGGACACTTATTCCAGTTTTCGGAAGTATCTCACGTTCTCTGTGCAATCACTGGTCGATGAAAAAAGGATCCTTTTTCATTCAAATTCAGATAACTCCGACTGTCCGTAGACTAAAGCCAAAAATTCTGCAAAAATTGTTCATGGGTTATCTGTTAGAATTGCATCAAAACCATTTCTCCTGAAATGTTACTAGAATTTTAAAGCTTCAAAATCGTTTTTTCAAAGTCTAGATACGACCATTTTTCACCGAAATACAGCCTGTCAAAGATGACGGATAATTTTGGACCTTTTTGCTGCTCCCTTATTTTTGTTGAGTAGTGTAATGATTGACGAATCGAGAGTTCCTCGAGTATCGCGCGCCTTATACGTTTTTTCAAGTAGGCGGCTCTGGATTCCATTTCCTTTGAACCTAGGATTGCCTAATGGGCAAAAAATGGATATTTTTTATAACTTTCTCGCGATGCACCCTTGGCCTAACGCCGCCGCTGAAATGGTGCAATGCTAAAATTTTCACCAGATAAAGCTTCCTAATTTCGTGCCACTTGTCGCTTCCCTACAGTGTATCTATCACATCCTTATCAAAACATGAATCGTTATTGTCCAAGTCCAGTGTACCATGTCCTGAATTTTAAATGAAACGAAAGAGAGATAACCAAAAGCTTTTCAGTCTCCTTTATAAAAACATATCGCTGCCGACAATGTAAAACGAGCAAAGTGGCACATTTAAAAGCTGGAAATTAACATACTGGGGAATGAATTTATTTAGATATTCTGGAACATGGAACGTGAATTTCAGTTTCACTCCCTCTAGGCGTGCAAATTCAAATGAAGTTGTTATGTAAACGGTGTTTATTGCACTTTTGCCGCCACAGGAATTTCTAGGAGTCTTTCTGCATGCATCTTGACTTAAGAGGCACGACCACCAAGTAAACCGTAAATGTCGGAGCACATGGTCTGGCTTTAGGAATTTAAACAAGCAATAACGCTTCCTAGAGGAACTCTCGAGAGAGGATTTAACATTTGCGTTTCGCAGTTGGCTGTAATAATTGTCATCACAGGTTTTCAAAATTAGAAAATTCTCAGAATTTTCGGAATACGCACGATTTTCGGTATTTTAAATAGTATCAAAACCACCAAAATATTCATAATTTTCGGAATTTTCAAAATCCTTAAAATTTACAGAACTTTCAAAATTTTGATAACAATGAAAATTTGGGATAATTTGATTATGTTAGAAATCGTGGACATTTAGAAAATTTGCTAATTTAAAAATGTTGAATTGGCGTGTAAATTCAAATGAAGTTTTTATATCGTTGCGCCTATTGCACTTTGCTACCACAAAAAATTGAAGAAACCTTCCTGTTAATCATCAAAATGAGGCGTCACAACCATTTAAGAAGACGTTACAAGATGACACCCAGCTGCCATTTTGAAATTTTCAACTGGTATTTCTACGTTAACGTCCCTAACTTATCCCGCTCATTAGTTGGATAAAATCCCAACTAGCAAAGATATTTTATAATTTTCAACTGTCCGTGCTATTTTATTTTATAACTGCTTAACTACTGCTCTAAGAATGCAACTTTGTTTCACTAAAATTGCCAGTAAGACAATTAAGAAGTATTTTGCTTTATAAGGTGGTGGTAAGGACCTTCTTAGAACAAAAATACAAAACAGTTTTACGACAGAATTTAGTACCGGCTTATAAATGTTTACACAACAATTTTATACGACATTCAAGCATTCTGAACAAATTTGTTTCATAATAGATTTATACTGGTATTATCTGATACGAGTTTAATCGTTTACGAACATCATTAAAATATTGTTTTATTACCGCTATGTGAAACATTTAGAAAATTAATTTATTAATATCTCTCGCTAATGCATACTGCACTCAGATGTCGCTTTAAACAAATTATTATATATAGCTATCATTAACACCGTCATATTGGAAGCTATGTATAAAAATTATGAAACGAATAAAGTATTCTTTTTTCCGGATAATTAAAGAAAGGCTTACACTTTGTTTAATTTTAAAACGGGGTATGGTTAAGCATTGAAATCCCCATTTTTGCATTAACTTAATAGACCTTATGCAAGTAATACCTTAGGACTTTGAACATCAAAATTTCCAGTCGCCTCGTGATTCCTTGTCTTGATTGCCAATATCAAGTTCTTAGTAGTAATTCTATATTTCACAAACACTGAAAATTTCTAAACACTGTCCTTACATGACGCACGTAAATGCCCCTCTTAAAACTGCCTAAAAAGTCCGTCTTTACATCCCAACTTGGTTTCTTGGAATGTTGAGCCTCCATTCAAGAAACTGGATGATTGAATGTTTATAGCGGGTGGGCTGAATAGCAAGCTAAGGATTGTTGATTCTTCATTCTTTTTACGTGCAACGCTACTATAAACATCCAAGTACATACTCTTGATAGGAAAAGTAAACAAAACGGAGCCTGTACAGGAAATCTTAAAGGAAATTATGAAATACGTTTATGGATGAACAAGTATGTGCCTTGTGGAGCAGAGTATATCAAAATCTGTGCGGGCGCCCAAGGCCACGCTCACGTGCCTCTAGCATACGAAATATTCTGTACGCTAGATGCCATATTTAGAAGTTTTCTGACTACACCTTTTTAACTTTTTATTTTGTTTTTTCTCTGCCGCTGGACCGATTTTCAAAAACTACAAAACTTTTTCTTTCTTGGCATAGTAGCAACTTTGTATACAAATTTAATAATAATAAAATGTCATTATTAGAATCACAACAATAGCACAACCCTATGTCTGTGATGGAATATGTACGTCCAAGGCAAAATTAGATACATACCAACCTAAAAATAAATACATCGATTTGATATTCAACGGAGTGAACTAATAAAAAGCGAAAAAAATATTCAATTAACAAATCCACGCCGTATTGGTTTACCAAAAAGGAACCAGATGAGAACTAATAATGAATGGATGAAAATATAAAAGAAAAAACCATAAAGAAAAGATCATAATAACTAATAATAACAGATCTAACAGCTGATTTTTAACCAACTTCCTGAATATTACAACACTTTTGTTTCTCCTGACAGGGTCGGTTGAGTTGTACAACCTCAATGCATTGAAAGTGAAACATTTTTGAAAAAATTCGTTGTAGTGCAAAGGCATTGTAAAATTATTATGCCTCGGATCCCTGAGATTAATGATTACTCCTTTTTCTTATGCACAAATATCTAAAGAATACATTCAATTTGTTGATCCATTTTCAGCCATTTACATTATCACATTATCAAACTTTTAACTAGCTTCTTACGCGTTAAAGTTGAAAATGAATCTATACTAAGTGACATATAAATCCGAACACCCAGTTTAAATGGTTTTATTTTAATAAAATTTTGTATAAGTACTTAATGAAGCATAATAAGTAAATGATAAAAATTTCAAAATGATTGCACTGCTTTAAAGCCCTTTGACCTTTAATAATGTGTGGATGCACCCTGATGTGCTACGCATTCTCCAACGCGCCTAGGCATGCTTCTGATCAGGTGGTCAATGTCCTCCTGTGGTATCTCATTCCAGGCAACCACCAACTCCTCTCGAAGTGCTTCTAGAGTCTGAGGAGGACGTTGCAAATTGAGCAATCTCCTACCGATCATATCCCACACGTGCTCAATTGGGGATAAGTCGGGAGATCTTGGTGGCCATGGTAACAATGTGACATCATTATGTTGAAAGAAGTCTATTGTGACTCTTGCACATGTGGTCGGGCATTATCTTGTTGGAAAGTTGGATCTGCCAGGGTGTCAAGATAGGGTAAAAGATGGGGTTCTAGAACTTCGTGGATATAACGCTGCGCGTTCATGTTACCTCTGATGAAGATTAAAGGTGACCTGGAACCATAAGCTATAGCACCCCAAACCATAACTCCAACAGTGTGATGAACATGTCTTTCAACAAAAACTGTGGATTCCTCCTTTCACCACGTCGCCTTCTAACCCTGGCACGACCATCGTGCATGCCTAAACAAAATCGAGACTCGTCACTAAAGACAATACTGTTCCATTCCTGATCCCAGAGTGACCGTTGTCTGCACCACTGAAGGCGATTACGTCGGTGTTCTCGAGTTAAAGGGAGGACCCAGTGTGGCCGGTATGAAAACAAGCCAAAACTTCTCATTCGTCGGTAAACACTTCGCATGCCAATAGGTCTTCCGTGTTCTGCAAACCATTCATTTGCAGTGGACCTGGTAGTGGAGAAACGGTCCCTTAAGGCCAATAATCTTAGGCGGCGATCTTCACGGTCTGTTGTTCTACGGCGGCGTCCAGTGCCCCTTGCTCTTTGCGTACGGCCTTCTCGAAGCCATGCCTGACAACGCCTTACCACAGTGTCTACACTTCTTTGCACTCTAACTGCAAATGCCCGAAAAGAAAGTCCAGCTTCCCGAAGTCCCACTATACGGCCCCTATCAAACTCACTAAGTTGACGAAATCGTACAGGTCTCCGTACTCTAGGCATCGTAACCGATCGTAACCGATCGTAAAGGATGCCAAGAACCAAAATTCGCCAACGTTGATTCTTTACTGCGGCTGAAATATTCATTTTTAGAGCGTTAGTGAATTAAAAAAAAGCAGTATAAAAACCGGAGTGTCCAACGGATAACGCTGAAAATTTTTTCACTTGTTATTTACAATAAGATAAATACATTCACCAACTTTTATTAAAATAAAACCATTTAAACTGGGTGTTCGGATTTATATGTCACTTAGTATATTAGCATATAGTTTGATGTAGGTGCTTTTCACATTTGTCGAATCTTAAACTAGACACGAAGATGACACCAAGATTTTGTACTTGTTCCACAATAGAAATGAGCTCATTGTCGATGCTCAATGCAATTCTGTCCCTTACTCTATTATGCAAGTGCTTAGGACAAAAAAGCATGCAAGCACTCTTATCTGGATTAATCTTTAACATGTGTCTCTTACAAAAATCAGTTATATTGGCAAGATCGTAATTTACTTTATATGACACTTCATCTAGTTGAGACAACTCAAAATGAAACGAAAGTTGCGTATCATCCGCGTAATTTTTTATTGTACAATGTTCAATACATCAAATACAGCAAAGGATCTAAAACAGACCCCTGAAGGACACATGAAGAAACGGCCATAGAAGTTGAGGCACCTCTAACTATCTTCATCTTTTGTTTAGGATTAGTTAAGTAAGTTTCAAAAAACCTAATATACTTTAACTCACTCAACAAAATTTTGTGATCAACCATGTCGAACGCCTTAGAGAAGTAAATCATTTCTAAAACTGTATTATATGTTTATCCATATTATTTAAGATGTTGTCTGTAAAATGGAGTAGTGAAGTTGTACGGAGCCCAGCACGCAATCCAGGCTGATGGACAGGGAGTAAATTGTTCATCTCTAAATATTCAATTGAAGATAAACAACCTTTTCTAATATCTTTGGAAATAAACATAGTATGCTGAAGAGTCGTAAATGATCAAGGGTTACCGGATTTTTTATTTTGGCTAGAGGAAGGATCATTGCGTCTTTCCAGACATCAGGAACACTCCCGGTTTCTACAAATTTCATCAAAATTCGAGCGGTACTTCTTAAGTTATAGACGGGGCAAGGATTAGCGGATAGACAGACATATCGACGGAAATGAGTGATGTACATGTCATGCAACATCCAAAAAACACAATGTCTCATTTTCGAAATTTTTCATGACTACAGTATTTTCTCGCCAGTGGTGTATGAAGTGAAAACTTGTCCAGAGCCAAAAAACAAGTTTATTTAATTTGTGCCAGGTTTTCGCGTCTTCTAAAGGTAACAACGAGGTTTTGTAATTGTAGACACACCTTGTATATCTGATCTCGTTGATCGGATGGTATTTCTTTTGAACTGAAAAGATCACGCTATTTCGAAGTAGACTCATTGAGAATGTGCAGTCACGTAGTGACATTGACATTTCAGAAGTTATCGTTGAAATGATTACGAAATAGATTAGTTGTATCGCGAATTGTAGACTATACGTTACGATGAGAAAACAGTAATTTATAAGACAATTGTTTCGTCTTCTGAATAGTGTATTTAAATTTTGATTACATACTTTAGATTTCATTTCGCAATTGACATGTACGGTTTGAATATCATTAGAAAAGCGATTTTTCAGCCTTTCCTTATGGAGTTTTCTAAATTGCCATATTCTGGTTGGAGGGTAATGTCGTCTCAGGTCACCAGAGCTTTCCGTACATTTGTCTAAGGGCGGTATCGTCAGTCGTTCCTACAGTTACTGTAGGACGCCTTTATGGCCTCTTTGATCTTCATCGCCTTCAGAAAACCTGTCAGCGTCAACGCTCTCTTATTGTGAAGTTATGTTTCGTTTCTGAATCTAAATAAATTTCAGGCTGATAAAACAGATTTTTTTTTATACTCCAACTACCACGAAGGCCTAAGGCCTAAACACCCATTGGGTACCGTGGGGCTATAGGGGGATACAGGGGAAAGGGGGAACGCCATACGGACTCTGACGAGGGAACACGTGTGCATGCAACATGCACACATTCTGGCTCCGTTAGGTGGTACCTCCGCGTTCGACAGTCAGAGACCGTCTTCCACCTACGGACAATCACATAGCCATCATAGCCAAGAGAAAAATTTCTCCTGGGACGGGATTCGAACCTGCACAGCGCACGGCGACTGACCAGGAGACCGAAGAGTCTACTACTGCGGCCACCGCTGCGATGATAAAAATCAAGTCTTATTAGCTTGAAATTTCTTAGAATTCAAAAAGTAAATATAACCTCAAAATACAGCGCCTACACGAAACAGTAAAAATGGATCTTCGTGTTGATAGGAAAGTTGGACAGTCGCAAAGCAAGTGTTCAAGTGTCTCAGCTTTCTGTAGTCATGATTCATGAGGCGTAAACGGCCTTTTAACTTTAGATTTCGAGTGTTACACGTCGCCAGCTTTCAATATACTACCCTTCAAAAGCTTCCGGATACTGGACGATTGATATTTGAAATTGAGAAAAGAAAAACAGTATTTTAATATAACCTCCTCGGTTCCTGGGTATCACTGGTGATACCTCAGTTATTTGCTGCATATTTATCCAAATAGTTTTAAGTCGCGATCAGTTCCGAGCGTATCATATACGATACACTCGCGCGAGTCCAGTTTGCAGGCTGTAACTTGAATTCTGGTTATTTGCTTTGTAAAGCGAGCAAGTGAATGTCGCAGTAGCACGTGCTTTGTGTACCAAAATGGCGTTTAACGAAAACACAAGTAAGTAGATCAATTAAAATTATTATTTTTCCGTTGTAGATGACAAAAATATGTGAGTGAATTATTTATCATGTTCTGAATTTAAAATAAAATGTAAATAACATTTGCAGCGCGTATTTTAGGTTAGGTATCGTAGGTGATACCTTGAGTCTTAATAGTTACAAAATAAGCTAATAACACAAAATAAATTTATTTATTTTGTATTTATTGAATACCATTTTTAGGGCCCCTTACTGCTGCCGAACTGCAGGAATTAGCAGACAATATGGATTTGAATGACTCGGATATAGATGATAACATTGATATCGGCGAATCGGGTGAGGAGCAGGAGGAGTTTTTTCAACAGCCTGACGTAACACCACAGGATGACAATTTCGATACTTCCGATGAAGAACCCTTGATAAACATTGTAAAGAGAATTAGTGATCGTTGTAGGTATAGACATAAAGAAGAATTTTATCCATCAGTAGTGAGAGAGTTTGTTCAAGAAGAAATAAACAGAAGCGTCAAAGAACCAATGCAATATTTTTGCAAATATCTTGACGACGATTTTTTTGAAAATATTGCACATTTCAGCAATATTAGAGAAGTGAAAACTACCGGAAAATCTTTAGGAACTTCTTCTGCAGAGATCAAAAGGTTTTTTGGATGTTCTATGCTGATGGGCATCTACAATCTACCACGCATTAAAATGTACTGGGGTGTACAAACTAGAGTACCCATAATTTCTGAAAAAATGTCTCGGAATAGGTTCTTCGTTCTGAGATCGCGCCTGAAGCTTGTTGATGATGACATGGTCAGTAAAGAAGCAAGGGATCTAGATAGGTTTTGGAAGGTAAAGCCTATGCTAGAGAAAATTCAACGAGGTTGTCGTTCAAATATCAGAACAGAAAATGTGTCAATAGACGAACAGATGATACCTTTTCATGGACAAGTTAAAATGAGACAATTCGTAAGAGGTAAGCCAAATCCGGTAGGCCTCAAAGCTTTTGTTATGACAACACCACAGGGAATACCTTTAGATATTTTAATGTACGAAGGGAAGGGTACTTCAGTAGATTCCATACTTGTAGACACGCCAGAAAAGCTTAACGTCGGAGGGAGATATGTTTTAAAACTGGCCGATACACTACCAAAGGGAGTTTCAGTTTTTACGGATAGGTTTTTTACATCTATACCTTTGGTAGATTGTATGTTATCAAGATCCTTGACTGTTACTGGTACTCTAATGTCTAATAGAGTTCCTAAAGAGGCGAAATTCGAATCGGACAGCATTCTAAAGAAACGAGGCAGGGGCTCATCGGATCAATTAGTAAGACAAGACGAGAAGATGGTCCTAGTAAAATGGTTTGACTCTAGGCCAGTGCAAATGGCGTCATCTAAGTGTGGTTCTGAGCCTCTAGGAGAATGCAAAAGGTGGTCAAAATCTGACAATAAATACATACAGATTCCACAGCCAAACGTTATTAAGGAATATAACGCATTCATGGGTGGAGTTGACTTACTTGATCGGGTCATCGGAAAATATTGTATGAGGTCAAGGACAAAAAAATGGACAATACGTTTCATTTATCATTTTTTTGATTTTGCTGCTGCTGCTTCTTGGTTGGAATATCGTGAAGATGCCTCTTTAGCACGTCTTGAGAAAAAACAGATCATGGATTACATGGATTTTAAATTTGCTATTGCACAAGCACTTCTTTACAATTTGGAAGATAAAGAAAATGAAACATCAGAAGATGAAGAAGCTGTTGAAATTAAAAAGCCTATGCTAGTTGAAGCACTACCTGCAAGAGGATTTAGACGAGAAAGCGCATTACATTTGCCTGAATTTATGAATGATAAGCAAAAAAGCAGGTCAAAATGTCGTTTAGCAGGATGCAAGATGTTAACTTTTACCAGGTGTACCGCTTGTAATGTTTTTCTATGCTGCAGTGTAAATAGAAATTGTTTTTTACTATTTCATAAGTAAATTTGCAGTTCTATGATATAAATTTGCTTTGTAACATTGAATTAATAAATTTACTTTTTTAACTTATCATTTCTTTAATATATTTTTTGTGTAGATGGAGATCCAAGGTATCATAGATGATACCTGGCATAAACCAAAAATCTATTTTTGTTTCAAAAAATTTGCTTCGTTTGTGCCTTACTAGGTCCATTAGAACCCAAAATCACTATTTTTGCTAATAAGTCCCAGTTATCTGGCTCTTGGGTCCGAGGAGGATAATACAATTATATGTGGGTGATATATATGTGTCTCAAATCATGACACGAAACGCTTTTACAGCACAAGTGTGTTTTCAAGTTATTCCACTGTGTTACGAGGGTTGTCTCAAAAATAAGTTTCCCACATTTTTTTCAGGCACAAGGAATTTTTTATCTACATAAACAAATTTACCATTGGAAACGTTGATCTTTAAGCTATTTTTCTACATAGTCTCAATTATTTACTCATTTTTTTAGACGTGGAGTCCACTTTTTCATCCAGGCCTCGAAGAAGTTCGCTGCCAGCCCGCTTGGAAACTTGGTAACCGCTCCTTGCAACTCCTCGTTCGTTTAAAACCATTGACCGGCCAGGGGCTCCTTCAATTTCGAAAACGCTATGTCAGGGCTGTAAGGAGGATGGGCAACGACTTCCCAGCCAAATCGCTCGATTCTGTCCTGCGTTTGTTGTGAGACATGAGGATGCGCATTGTCAAAGTATTTTCAGTTTGTAGGCTCATATGAATCATATAACATAACAGTCTATCCTGTCTATTTGTCTTATAGGATTTGGTTTCATAGAACACGTAACGAGTGCTCGAAAGTAACGAGAATCACCACTACTACTACTGAGCGTCGCCAATAGGCTGAGATCGGTGGTTGGGGGAGCCCGACGGTGTTGCCAGATTTCGCCTAGCATCACGCGCGGCAAAATTACAGCGTTGGGAACCTCATTTTTGAGACAACTCTCGTATTTATTCGATGGGCAATATTTTATGACTCGTCGATTAAGTTTATCTCAAAGAAATTCGGCCGGATGGAGATTAGAGAACGGAACTGGGATCTCCATGGTTTCCATAAAGAGATCTGCAAATATAACTTGACTTCTATTTCTTTTTTTCGTTTTTAATCATCGACCATCATGTGCCCGGAATCTTTTGAATAGCGTATACATATACAGTGCTTTTCTTTAATGTCCCCCTCCGCTTTGATTTTTTGAACGGATCACTTTAAAAAATTAAAACTTGAGGTAATGACATTGATGCGTGAATACCATATGTTAGAGTAAAATTGATAGATGAAAATGTCAAGATGGTCGCTGGGCGCCATCTTGGAAAAAAATTATCTTGTGGCACATCATTTTGAAGTTCCTGACGAGTACTTTATAACCCTAGAATATAAAGTCAATACCTTTACCTACTACCAAATGGTGGTACATTTAATAATTACCTGAATACATTGACATTTAACTTGATAATTCGAATAAATACGTTGAGTTCAGTTTAGAAGATGCTGGAAATGGTTGCCTTGAACTTCTTGACGCAATAACAGCCGGTCCGTAATTTCAAACATAGTAACATCGATATTTCTACAGATATTTGTTATTCTCAGCCGTATATCTAGTATTGAAGCGGGTTCAGTTTCGCTTCAAATAACTCCATAAAAAAAAGTCTAAAGGTGTCAAATCTGGCGAGCGAGCTGGCCATTCCACAGGACCTCGACGGCCAATCCAACGACCGGAGAAATTGTTATCTAAATAATTCCTAACTTGTCTGGAGTAGTGTGGTGGAGCGCCATCTTGCTGGAATACAATATCAGTATCGAATTCATTAGGATTCGCTTCGATGATTAGAGGTTCAATAGTATTTTCCAGCATATCCAAATACAGTTTCCCGGTTAAAGTTATGACTTCCCAATATCCCAGCCCGAACGTTAATTTTTTGTGGATATGTCCAATAACGACAATTTTGTGTATGCACATTACCGTTGAGAAAAAATGTATATTCATCACTAAAACAAATATTTTGGATATAGGTAGGATGCCGTGCAATGGTTTCCGTCATAGTCTCGCAGAATTTTGTTCTTCGATCAGGGTCATCTTCAGTTAGCTGATGTACCATTTGAATTTTGTATGGATGATACTTATTCTGTTTCAAAAGCCTCCATACAGTAGAAGGCCAAACCTCACATACATTCGCGATAGAGGAAGTAGACTGTTGGGGATTTACTATGATCTCACCAATTATTTGTACTTGCTTTTCTTCCGGGATGGTCGGATGACCTTTTTTTTATACTTTAACTACCACGAAGGCCTAAGGCCTAAGCACCCATTGGGTACCGTAGGGCTATAGGGGGATACATGGGAAAGGGGGAACGCCACACGGACTCTGGCGAGGGAACACGTGTGCATGCAACATGCACACATTCTGGCTCCGCCTACGAAATCCGCCGGGTGGCACCTCCGCGTTCGACAGTCAGAGACCGTCTACCACCTACGGACAATCACAACATCCATAGCCAAGAGAATAATTTCTCCTGGGACGGGACTCGAACCCGCACAGCGCGCGGCGACTGATCAGGAGACCGAAGAGTCTACTACTTCGGCCACCGCTGCTGCCTAACCTGGGGGCTTTTTGTTGTTTACACTACCAGTAGCTGTAAATTTAGATACAAGTTCCCTTAAATATTTTCTACAGCTAGGAGGACGATTGGGGAAACGATCATTAAAAATCCTTTGGGTCTCGTGAAAGTTACGCGTCGCACCATAAATAAAAATCGCTTCGATTTCTTCTTCCAATGGACGAGAATTGCCCATTTTAAAAATAGTTCAAACAGTATATATCACTAAAACCGAAAACTAAATAAGAATATTTTAAGTGTACAATGATGTTTGGTTTCGTACTGATATTCTTGTCACTGCCAAAAAAAATAACAAAACAATTTTTTATCGCTGTTGCTGTGGATACGGCAGGGAATTACAATTATTTGTAGAAATATGCATGTTAGTGGGTTTGTGTTCAAGTAATTATTAAATGTACCACCATTTTGTAGTAGGTAAAGGTATTGACTTAATATTTTAGGGTTATAAAGTACTCGTCAGGAGCTTCAAAATGATGTGCCACAAGACCCCCGTTTTCGTATATATTTTTTTCAAGTTGGCGCCCAGCGGCCATCACATTTTCATCTGTCAATTTTACTC